AGAGTTTGCGGTGAACTGAGATCATGCCATTGCACTCCAGCCTGGCAACAAGAGTGAGACTCTGCTTCAAAAAAAAAAAAAAGAACAAATGAGATGAAGGAGAAAATCAGCAGGGGCTGGGCACATGGTTGCCAAATGGTGTGCATTTAGGGAAAGAAAGAAGCTGGAGGGGCCTATCTTTGGCTTAGGCTCTGGGTCATCTTCTTGCTGGGCTGGTGAAACTCAGGTCACTAGTCAGTAGTGGGTAGAGATGTTACCAGGGAGTTGAACTCTGACCTTGGGTTTGAAATGGTAGGTAGAGGACAGAAGGGCAAAAGCTTTGGTTCCAGCAAGGGGGACTCAAGCCAGATGTGAAGGACTGGCTGGCAAGGATTAGAGATTGCAGACAACCCTTACCTCTGGACTGGGACTGAGTGCCCCTGTGAGCCCAGCCACGTCCTGGCACTACTGTGGAGGACAGAAGAGATAAGAAGGGGTACAGATTCTCAGCATACTCCAGGATACATTGGGGATTGGGCAGAGGTGGGCCCCCAGAAGATGAGCAACAAAGGAGAGAGCAGTAGCAGTGCTGAGCTGTGGGGCTCAGCCTCAGAGGACTAGGAGCTTGAGGGGGCAGTCAGGGAGGACTTTTTGGAGGAGGTGGCCTGGAGCCACCTGAAGGTGGGAGGATGTGGTTTACTCACTCACTGTCATCACATAATTTTGGGGGCTCCCTGTTTGCCAGGCCAGTGCCAGTTGTGATGTGGAGGAAGTCGTGGATGGGGCCAGCCCAGCCTGGCTGGGGGTTGGGGTATGTCACTGACAACTTGAGCAAGTCACTTCCTCCTTGTGGGTGTTCGTTTCTTCATCTGTAAACGTCAGAGCTGGATGAACTTGAATGACAGACAAAAGAGTGCTCAAGGGCACTGGGAACCATAGAAAGGCTTTGAGCAGGGGTGGGACTGTAATTGGCACAGTGGAGAGACGATGGAGGGACACGAGAGGAAAGGCAGGGTGGGGGTGCTGGCGTGCTGAAGCCTGACTGGGCCCTTGGGGTGGAGAGGAGGGAAACCCCTCAGCTCTTGGCTGCTATGACAAATCCTGAGCCCTGCCTTCCTGAGGACAAGGACTCAGTGATGTGTCATAGCGGCTGAGGGGCTTAAACCTCTGAGGGGCTTGGATTCGGGTAGAACAAGTGAGGCACTTGCCTCTGTTGCAAATTTGAGGGGTGCCAAAACGCTCAGTAATTAGCTGGGTTTGGCCACGAGATCCTGCGTTCCCCGCTATTTGGGAGGTGGAAGTGGGAGGATCACTTGAACCCAGGAGATCGAGGCTGCAGTGAGCCACTGCACTCCAGCCTGGGCAACAGAGCTGACCCTGTCAAAAAAAAACAAAAGATGAATAAAATTTAAAAGCAATAATCATTTTAAAAAAGGTCAGTAATCAAGGTATATAATATTTAATGCCATTTAAAAAATAAAAATGAATGCAAAAAATCCATGATGAGGAAAACACAAAACATCAACGCTTTAAATAAATAGAGGACCAGTATTGATGATCCTGTCTGTGCCTCAGGCTGCAGTATGGCTTAGCAGAACACTGCTCTAAACTTCTTTTTTCAATTTGCTGCTTTCTCCAGGAAGCCTTCCCTGCCCCAGCCTGGTTGAGAGCCCCCTGGGCTGTTTTTGCTGGCTGACGGTATCTGATCCCTTCCAGCCTGAAGTTCCTGGAAGGCCAGTCCAGGTCTCAGGTCTGGTTCATGCTTCCTGTGCCTTGAACAGGACTGTCCCAAAGGGGTGTCAGTGCTGAGTCTCCATGTCTTTGATCTTAGCCAGATGCCCTTAGTACAGGAATAGGAGCTTGAGAGAGGCCCAAGAGGGAGCCAGGCTTTTCTCAGGGAGAGAAGTAGTTTCCTGTTTTCCAGATCTTGTCATTCCAGTGGGGTGGTTGGGACCATCATCCATCAATCTGTGCTATAGCAGGTGCTCAGTTTTTTTTGTTGTTTGTTGTTGTTGTTTTTGTTTATTTGTTTCTTTGGAGCCAGACTCTCACTCTGTTGCCCAGGCTGGAGTGCATTGGCGCCAGCTCGGCTCACTGCAGCCTCTGCCTTTCAGGTTCAAGCAATTCTCCTGCCTCAGCTTCCCAAGTAGCTGGAATTACAGGCACCCGCCACCATGCCCAGCTAATTTTTTGTATTTTTAGTAGAGACAGGGTTTCACCATGTTGGTCAGGCTGGTCTTGAATTCCTGACCTCAAGTGATGCACTCGCCTCAGCCTCCCCAAGTGCTGGGATTACAGGCATGAGCCACCATACCTGGCCCTCAGTTTGTGTTTTGAGAGGCCATGCAGAGTGGTTAAGAGTTGATGGCTAGGCTGGTGGCTCATACCTGTAATCCCAGCACTTTGGGAGACCGAGGTATGCAGATCACTTGAACCCAGGAGCTCAAGACCAGCTTGGGCAGCATGGTAAAACCCCATCTCTACAAACAAATGGAAAAATTAGCTGGGTGTCGTGGCACGAGGTGGGATAATTGCTTGGGCCCCAGAGGCAGAGGTTGTGTTGAGCAGAGATTTTGCCACTGCACTCTAGCCTGGGTGACAAAGTGAGACCCTGTCTAGAAAAAAAAATTGTTGAGAGTTGCAGTCTCCAGTATGAATAGAGTGTGAACCACAATGCAATGTAAACTGTCCAAGTGAAATTAATGTTAATAATATATTTCATCATGTAAACAATAGGGAAAATTATTGAGATTTTTGCATTCTTGTGTGTGTGCGCTAAGTCTTCAAAATCCAGTGTGTTTAAAATGTAGCACATCATATTCCAGGGACCACATTTTAAATGTCCAACAGCTGTCTGTGGCTACTGCTGGCTGCTATTGGACAGCAGAGGGCTGGACTGTAGTCATACTGCTCCTTCCTGGGTGTGTGGTTAAAGTTATTTAACCTCCCTTTTTCTCAGTATCTTCATCTTAAAACAGGCATAGCAATCATATGTACCTCCTAGGGCTGCTGTGAGGCTTTAGGGAGGTAACGTAAAGTGCCTGGAGACCTGGCGTGCAGTAAGACTCTTTACGGGGTCTCCTCTTGTTTTAAACTGTTGTTCGAGTAGCACTGCCATTTTGGCCAATACTTTCATCTGAAGTGCTAGTTACTTAAAGGTTGTCTTTTAAATACTCACTTTTGGGCTGGGTGGTTTAGGCCTATAACCTTAGCACTTTGGGAGGTCAAAGTGGGAGGATTGGTTGAAGCCAGGAGTTCAAGGCCAGCCTGGGCAACATATTGAGACCCTGTGTTTACAAAAAATAACAAAATTAGCTGGGCACAGTGGCGTGTACCTGTAGTTCCAGCTACTCGGGAGGCTGAAGCAGGAAGATTGCTTGAACCTGGGAGCTGGAGGTTGCAGTAAGCTGTGATTGCACCATTACACTTCAGCCTGGGCAACAGAGCAAGACCCTGTCTCAAAAATAAAATAAGGCTGGGCACAGTGGCTCACACCTGTAATCCTAGCACTTGGGGTGGCTGAGGCAGGTGGATCACCTGAGGTCAGGAGTTTGAGACCAGCCTGGCCAACGTGGCAAAACTGCATCTCTACTGAAAATACAAAAATTAGCCAGGCGTGGTGGTGCGCACCTGTAGTCCCAGCTACTTGGGAGGCTGAGGCAGGAGAATCGTGCTTGAACCCAGGAGGCGGAGGTTGCAGTGAGCTGAGATCGTGCTACTGCACTCCAGCTGGAGCTACAGAGTGAGACTCTGTCTCAAAATAAATAAATAAAATATTAAAAAAAATATATATATATATATATACCTGTTTTAACCCTATCCTAGGCAGTGACAATTATGAAGTTTACTTACGATAAATATCTGTTTATGTGTTTGTAAGATGTAAAATGTTCATGAATACCTGCTGAAGCCATTATGCAGAGCACAGCAGTTTTCAAGTTAACCCTAGTATTGGCAGACCTGACTGCTCTAGGCCCTGGGAAGGGGGACCTGTCCATGCCACCCCACTGGTCCCTAGCCCCACAGAGCCCTGGCCATCTACATAGCAAGGGTGGTGGCCTGTCTACAGCTGTCCTGTTTGTTGTCCTCCTGCCTGGGAGCATCCTGTTTTGGTCCGTTTTCCTCAACCTCCCCTACATGTTAGGGGCAGGGCCCCAAGGTCTCATGCCCCTGACTCAGTTACCCCACTTGTGCCCTCAGCCCACTCCATGGTCCCCAGGGTTAGTGGAGAGGGTCCTGTGTCCCTGTGTCCTCTAAGGTCCCCCACCTCTCCTGACAGGCTCTGTGTCAGGGAGACCTCTTTAGTCGCGGGGCTGCATCGTCCCTTCCTCACCCTTCTGGGGCTGTCCCTTCCACAGTCTGCCCCTATACACATCCCAGCACTGGTCTTATGGAGCCAGAGAGTGGGGAAGTCCTGACTCCTCTTCACCACCTGTGCAGCCTCCACACGCAGACAGCCCTGTCTGTCTGCCTTCTCCCTCCAGCAAGACCTTCCTCTGGTCTGACCTATTGCCAGCTTCTGTGAGCATGAGGTTCCCTGAATCCTTTCCTCTTCCCTCTTCCTTCTCCTCCTCTTCCTCCACCTCTTCCCTACCTCTTCTTCTTCTTTATCTTCTTTTTTTTTTTTAATCAGGATCTGGCTCTGTTACCCAGGCTGTAGTGCAGTGGCTCAATCACAGCTCACTGCAGCGTCCACCTCCTGGGCTCAGGTGATTCTCCTACCTCAGCCTCCTGAGTTCCTGGGACTACAGTCAGACTCTACCATACCTGGCTAATTTTTGTATTTTTTGTACAGATGAGGTCTCCTTATGTTGCCCAGGCTGGTCTTGAACTCCTAGGCTCAAGGAATCCACCTCCCTCAGCTTCCTAAAGTGCTGGGATTATAGGTATGAGCTGCTGTGACTGGCCCCCATCTCTTCTTTCCTTTTCCCTGTCCCTTTCCCTCTTCCCTTCTCATTCTCCTTTGGCATCTCAAAGTGGCCTTGCCTTATGGGCTTTCTCCTCCATCCCTGTCCTTGCAGCTCCCACCCTGGACCAAAATGAGGAGCCCTTCAGAATAGCTGCTGTCTCTGGGAGGACCCGGGCATCCTTGGCAGCCCAGCTGGTGAGTCAGGAGGTAGAGGGGTAGGAACAGGGCTGGCTGTGGCAGGCTAGGCCTTAACACTGAGGTGGGGAGAGGGTTGATGGAGGCTGACATCTGATATCCCATTTTCCATTTTGAGAACTGAACTTGAGAGGCAGAGGGTGAGGCCCAGAGAGCTTGCTAAGAGCCTCCCAGCAGGGCTTGGAACCTTGGAACAGGGCAGGGGTATGGGACAAAGGGACAGGGTAGGGGCCAGCAGGCTGGGTTGTGGGTCGGGCTGTATGTATCTCCTCATTGGAGTCCCCTCCTTGCCCGGCAAGTTTTTGTTATCTTTCTCATTTTCAGGCTCTGTTCATGGTTATCTCATTCTCTTTTAATTTTTATTTACTTTTTGGAAAATGACACAAAATTAAAAAGATACAGAAGGGTATAGTGTCTCCTGTCTTCCCAGCTGTCAGTTCCCCTCCCCAAACACAGTTTCATATGTATCCATCCAGTTTTCTGTGTTTATATTTGCATATATATACTATGTATATAGTTTTTCTTTATCCCAGATATTTATGTAACACTGTTCTGCATCTTGCTTTTCCACTTAACACATCTTTAATATCATTTTATGTGAAGTTTAGAATCTGCTTGTCTCAACAAATTCCAGTTGGTAATTTTAGTTGGGATGGTGTTAAAGTTTTAGCTTAGCCCCAGAGGAACTAGCATCTGTATAATGTTGAAGTGAAAAGTCTCCAGCCGGGCATGGTGGCTCACGCCTGTAATCTCAGCACTTGTAGGAGGCCGAGGTGGGCAGATCACGAGGCCAGGAGTTTGAGACCAGCCTGGCCAACATAGTGAAACCCCCTTCTCTACTAAAAAAATACAGAAAATTAGCTGGATGTGGAGGTAGGCACCTGTAATCCCAGCTACTCGGGAGGCTGAGGCAGAATTGCTTGAACCCAGGAGGTGGAGGTTGTGCCACTGCACTCCAGCCTGGGTGACAACGCGAGACTCCGTCTCAAAAAATAAGTAAATAAATAGAAAAGTCTCCCTTTCCCCAGAGGTGGATTTTCAGGGAAGCTAGAGTTTGAGGTGCAGGGCTCCTTCCAGGATCTAAAGAGGGACCCAAACAGTGTGTGCATGTGGTCATATGTTTTTGTGATTTTTGTAAAAGTGATACTCTTAAGGAGAGCATGTTGGTTGGTCCCTTTTGCGTTGCAATCAAGGAATACCCTGAGTAATTTATAAAGAAAGAGGTTTATTTGGCTCAGGGCTCTGTAGGCTATACAAGCCTGGCACGAGCATCTGCTCAGCTTCTGGTGAGGCCTCAGGAAGCTTTTAGTCAGGGTGGAAGGTGAAGGAGGAGGAGACACATCACATGGTGAGAGAGGGAACAAGAGAGAAGCCAGGCTCTTTTAACTAGCTAGCTCTATGTGAGCAAAGAGTGAGAACTCATTTGTTACTGTGGGGAGGGCACCAGGCTATTCATGAGGGATCTATCCCCGTGACCCCAACACCTCCCAGTAGGTCCACCTCCAACATTGGGGGTCATATTTCAACGAGATTTGGAGAGGACAAACACCCAAACCATATCAGAGGGCACCTAAATTGTGTAAGCTTCAGGCTCCATAAACTTCAGGCCCTTATGAACTCTGGATCTTCTACTTTTCCCTCCTGTCCCTTCAGTCCTTAGTTTTCTTCCTAGGAGGAAGCCGGTAACTGTCACCTTACCCCCGTGTGTCTTTTCAGAGCTACTTTGTTCATTTACTGGTAGCTGCACATGCTCCATGCTCTCCCTTTTTTTTTTTTTACAAAGAGAGAATGTTACACAAACTGTTCTGTGCTTTCCTTACTCATATAACAGTGTATCTTGTAGGTCATCCCATTCCAGTATGTAAGGAGTTTCCTCATTCTCATGGCCGCCCAGTATTCTATTGCACAACTACACCGTAATGTAGTTAACTATTCTCCCATTGGTGGAGTATTCTATTGTATGACTATACCATAATTTAGTTAATCATTCTCCCATTGATGGACATTTTGGTTATTTCCATTCTTTTGCTATGAAACACAGGCGCTGCAGCCAGTAACCTTCTATATAGGTCAATTCTGGCGGGTGCCAGTAAAAGTGCAGGCTAAATGCCTACAGGTAGCTGGGTCAGCCATCTGCATTTCTGCTTTCTTTTTCTTTTTTTTGAGATGGAGTCTCTCTCTGTTGTTCAGGCTGGAGTGCAATGGTGCGATCTGGGCTCACTACAACCTCTACCTCCTGAGTTCAAGTGATTCTCCTGCCTTAGGCTTTCGAGTAGCTGGGATTACAGGTGCCTGCCACCATGCCAGGCTAACTTTTTGTATTTTTAGTAAAGATGGAGTTTCACCACGTTGGCCAGTCTGGTCTCGAACTCTTGACCTCAGGTGATCCACCTACCTTGGCCTCCCAAAGTGCTGGTATTACAGGCATGAGCCACTGCACCCAGCCCAGACATGTGCATCTCTTAGGGCTTTCATGCCTACAGGTATTCCATGGCCAGGGAGGGGATGCCCCACTGCATTACCAGTGCTTGTATTTTCCAGCTTTATTGCTCTTTGACAGTCTGATAGGTGGAAAGCAGTATTCCAGAATATTTTACATTTCTATTTCCTAGTATGGGGAGGTTAAGTTCCTTTCAGATATTTAAGAGCCATTTATATTTTCCTTTCTGTAAATTTTTTCATTCATACTCCTTGCCCATTTTTCTGTTAGACTATTGACTTGTTTCTTATTTCTGCATGCTTTTCAATTATTAGGAAAATGAGCCCTTTGTTCGGAATATGAGTGGCAGATATCCCCTAGTTCGTCAATTAGCTCTTGGCTTTGCTTTTTACCATGCAAGAGTGCTTGATTTTTGCAGAATTGAATTTTTCAGTCTTTTCTGTGTGCCTTCTGGATTTGTTTCATTTCCAAAAGGCTTTTGCCTCTCTGACATGATTTAAAAAATTTTTGTTTAGAGGCTGAGTCTCAGTCTATTGCCCATGGTAGAGTGCAGTGGTGTGTGGTGGTGTGATCATAGCTCATAGCTCACTGCAGCCTTGAATTCCTGGGCTCAAGCAGCCCTCTCACCTCATTCTCCCAAGTAGCTGAGACTGCAAGTGTATAGCTGGTTAACTTTTTTTTTGTAGAGACAGTCTTGCTATGTCGTTCAGGCTGGTCTTAAACTCCTGGCCTCAAGCAGTTGTCTTGCGTTAGCCTCCCAAAGTGTTGGGCTTACAGGCGTGAGCCACCATGCCCAGCCCTGAGATGATTTTGTAAATCCTTTCATTTTTTTTTTTTTTTTTTTGTGAGACAGTCTCTCTCTGTCACCCAGGCTGGAGTGCAGTGGCGCAATCTCAGCTCACTGCAACCTCCGCCTCCTGGGTTCAAGCGATTCTCCTGCCTTAGCCTCCTGAGTAGCTGAGATTACAGGTGCTTGTCACCATGCCCAGCTAATTTTTTGTATTTTTATTACAGATGAGGGTTTGCCATATTGGCCACACTAGTCTCAAACTCCTGACCTGAGGGTATACACTCGCCTTGGCATTCCAAAGTTGTAGGATTTTAGACTTGAGCCACCTTGCCTGGCCATTATTTTTTTAAATACTGAAATCTTTGATCCAGCTATAATTTTTAATTTTTCTTGTAAAGTGTGAGGTAGGGATCCACCATAGTTTTTTTTTTTTTTTTTTTTGAGAGCATTCCACAGCTGTCCCAACAACTTGATAATCCCTTGTTTCCCCACAAGTTTGAGAGGCTACTTTTAGTGTATCCTAAATTTGTGTATGTATTTGGGTCTACTTTTGAACTTTCTGTTTAATTGATGGGTCTGTTCATGTGCTGTTCAACAGTATCCTATACTGCTTTAATCATTGTGGGTTTATAATATGTTTTAACATGTGGTGAGGTTGATTCCTACTCTTTACCCTTCCCACCCTCTTTCTGCTTCCAGAATTTTCCTGACTCTTTCTACTTATTTATTTTCCCACATGAATTTTCAAATCAACTTGTTTAGCTTCAAAAATAATTCTGTGTGCATATTTAATTGGATTGTGTACATTTATAAAGTAACTTAGACATCATTAATCTTTTTGTTGTCTTCTATCCGGAATTTATTATACCCTGCCATTTGTCCAGGTCTTCTTTTTGTCCCTCAATAACATGCCCAATTTTTCTTCCTATTGCTGTTGTTTATCTCTTACGAAATTTATTCTCAGTGTTTTCTATTTTGTGATGCTCTTGTAAATGGGGTCTTTCATGCTGGTTTCTACCTGGCTACTGCTTATAAATGTTGATTTCTGTTATATTAATTTTGTTTTTTGTTTGTTTGTTTGTTTTTTTGAGACAGAGTCTTGCTCTGTTGCCCAGGCTGGGGTGCAGTGGCATGATCTTGGCTCATGGCAACCTCTGCCTCCCAAGTTCAAGCAATTCTCCTGCCTCAGCCTCCTGAGTAGCTGGGACTACAGGTGCATGCCGCCATGCCTGGCTAATTTTTTATATTTTAGTAGAGACGAGGCTTCACCGTATTGCCCAGGCTGGTCTCAAACTCCTGTTCTCAGGCAATCTTCCTGCCTTGTCCTCCCAAAGGGCTAGGATTACAGGCATGAGCCACTGTGCCCAGCCAGTCTGTTATATTAATTTTGAACCCAGTAACTGAAGTCTTTACTGGTTGTGATAGTTTCTCAGCTGAGCTTCTTGGGCTTTCCAACTCAACACTCACATTATTGGCAATGAATGGATAGTTTATTTCTTCCTGTCTGATTTTAATACCTCCTGTTTATTTTTGTTGTCCAGAGCTTTCAGAGCTATGTGAGGAATAATAATAACAACAGTAAAATGGATATCCTTTTCTCATTTAGGAAAGTATCAATTTATTTCTGTTTTAGTAAGATTTTATTTGTGTAAGTAAGCTGGATATTGAGTTTTATCATGTGCATCTCCAGTGTCTGTGGAGATAATCAGATGACTTTTCCCTTTGTTCTGCTCACCGCCTCTTCACATCACCTCTTGACTCCCACCAGGCTAGGAGCTCTTAATTGCAGGGTGCAGGGGTGGAGCCTGAGTCCCCATTGTCTAGTGTCAGGCGATTTTGAAAGAAGGAATGAATGAATGGCCTTAGTGGTGAGAGGATTTACCCAATTCCAGGGCCAGGCCCCCAGAGGCCATGTGACTGATGCTGGGTTTACTCACCTCCTATAGCATTTCACTTCCTCCATGGGCATAGGGGGTAAGGGGAAGCTACTCTGGGCTCCCAGACTGGGCTTGCAGGAGAGACCAGCAGTGGTGTCCTTCAGCGCTTGCTAAGCGCTTATCCTGGCCCTCACTGGGAACTGGTGCCTCAGAGAGAATTGACCCTGCCCTGGGTCTTGCAGAGGGCAGTGGGGAGTAGGTACCAGACATAGTACCAATCACACCACTGGCCAGTCTCACGGCAGTGGCTGAGGCCGTGTGTTGGGGTGGGGGTAGTGCCGATCCCAGAGATCATGAAGGATTTCCTAGAGAAGAAAATGTGAGGTGGATGCTGGGATAGCACAGGGGAAGGGGTGAGGGGGTTCAGGCAGAGAGAAGAACCTGTGTATTCAGAGACCTGGCAGTACCTGGCCTTGCCTAGCACATGGAGCACAGTGGAGGAAGCTCCAGGACAGAACTTGAACCCATGGCTTGAGAGGGCCATGCAGGCTGCTGGTGAGGAAACCACTCTCGGCAGCCCTGTCTCTGACCTGTGCCTGTTTGTCTATTCCAGCTCTGGACAGAGCCCTACCAGTTGGGCCTCTGCTGGCAGGAACCATGGCAGAGGCTGGGGATGCTGCGCTGTCGGTGGCCGAGTGGCTGCGGGCATTGCACCTGGAGCAGTACACGGGGCTCTTTGAGCAGCATGGCCTGGTGTGGGCCACTGAGTGCCAAGGCCTCAGCGACGCCCGCCTGATGGACATGGGCATGCTACTCCCTGGCCACCGCCGCCGCGTCCTGGCTGGCCTGCTCCGTGCCCACACCCCGCCGGCCCCCGCACCCCGCCCCACCCCACGGCCCGTGCCCATGAAGCGCCACATCTTCCGCTCACCACCTGCGCCCGCCACTTCACCTGAGCCACTGCCTGCCGCTGCTACAGAGGATGAGGGGCTCCCCGCCACCCCGCCCATCCCGCCCCGGAGGAGCTGCCTTCCGCCCACGTGCTTTGCGGCCCGGTCCACATCCATCCTGGACCCGGTGCTGCCCCCGCTGCCTGCTAAGCAGCATTTGGCAGAGCTGAGCGTTCCACCCGTGCCGCCCCGCACCGTACCCCCCCGCCTGGTGGTGAGGTGAGTGGATGCCACCCAGGGTGGGAGTCGCATGGGCAGAGGATCCCAGAGGCTTGATGAGGAGTTTGTGGCCTTTGGTGCTGGGATAAGAAGGGTGCTTCGGAAATGCAGGGAACAGCAGCACAAAGCTCGGAGGAAGAGGGCTGTCTGGGAACTCGGGAGGAGGGGAGAGCTGTCCAGGTACTCAGTATAGTGCTGGGGCTGTTGGGCACCTGCCGGTGAGGCCTCCAGGTTTCCGTCTTGGGTGGCTGGGTGGACAGTGGTGCCGTCACTGATCCAGAGACCCAGGAACAGAAGTGAGTGTGAGAGAAAGTCGAGTTCAGCTTGGGACCTGGCAGGCGTGAGCTACTGCAGGACATCAGGAGGCAACACGTGGAGGAAACGGAAAGCTGGAGGGTTGGGGTGGGGCTGAGGGGACTGCCCAGGTCCTGGTGCTGTGCTCTTTCACACCTTGCTCGCTTCTCCCACTGCCAAATGTCACCAAATCCAGGGACACGTCTCAGGCCTCATCCTGCATGCTCTCCCTCTCAGAACTGTTTCCCCTCCTGGGCTCCTGGTACCCTGTGTTTTTCTTGAGTTTCCCCTGGCTCCCATGGATTTTCCATGTTAATCTCCTTCACAGGTGTCCTCCCTTCCTGCCATCTACTAGGTGCCCGGCTGTCAGGGAGCATCCCCAGACAGGGTAGATACGTGTTCAGGGTGAGGGGGATTTGGTGGAGCACTTGGGTGAAGTCAGGTGTGTGGAGAGCTGTCTCCTGGTCCCCGTTGTTTGCTGCAGGGCACTCTTCTGGGCTCTGTGCTTCCACGGTCTCATTGATCCCTGCATCAGGACTCCTGGGAGATTCGTGTGCTGGCTTCACGCAGGACAGGAATGAATCTGAGAGACAGCGGGCAGAGGGGCCCTGGCTGCATCGAGGCCAAGTGTATAGTCATGGGGGCCTTGTAGGGAGGATCAGGGAGATTCTTCCCACCCAGGGAGGAACATTAAGTCAGGGGGCCTTGAAAGCTGAGCTAGTGCTATGGTGTTTTGAGTGTTGATTGGTGGAAGCACAAAAAGGGTACATGCTCGTCCTGGGTTTACACAACTGGTAACAGGTATAGGGTCTCTTCAGGAGGCTGGAGGGAAGCTCCAACGGAAGTTTCCTGGTGCCCTTGCGCCCTCTAGTGACCATTCTTCTGTATGCAGGAGCAATTTCTATTTCAATCCCATCAGCTGGTAGGGGAGAGAGAGGAGATGGGGAGAGAGGATGGAGGAGATAAAGTCTGTCTGTCTGTCTCTGGGGTTGGAAGTGGGTGAACAAAGGGAAGAGGCAGGGCCCTGGCCAGGTCCCCTCTCAGGCCCTTCCTGTGACCCCCCAGTCAGGCAGTAGAGGCCTGGGTTCCTGCTAGGAGGCAGGATGCCTGGGTTGGGCCCAGCTAGCTTTGTGACTCTGATGAGGGCCTGCTCCTCTGGGCCTGTTTCCCCATCAGGTGCCCTTCATGGTCTTCCACAGCCTTCTGGCCCCTCCTGGTACTGACGTCTGAGTTCAGGAGGCTTGCTGGGTAGGAGGAGAGCCCTGTCCACGCCCCTGGGCCCCAGGGTACCAACCCCTACTCTCAGAGCCTGTGCGAACGTAGCCACTTAGCCAACACGAGGAGGAGGCCAGGCCCCATGATCAGGAGGAGGTCTGGCCCTTTGTAGTTCAAGGACCCAAAATCTGTCCTGTGCTAAGAGAATTGGAAGGAAATTATTTCCTGCAATTTGGAACTATTTCTTACAGCAGAGTAGGGTGGGGTAAGCTGCCAAGCCTGGCTTTCTGTGTCTGGGGATCTTTGGCAGTTGGAGTTGTGGGCATCTGCAGTCCTCAGCTTTGTACTCACTCAACTCAGAAAGTGTACAAAGTCTTCAAAGCCGTGTGGTAGAAAAACTCACAGCAGATGAAGCCTCATGTGAGCTGGGTCCTGTGGTGATCAGGGTGGGGGCCAACATGGAGCCTGACTGGCCACCCTATCCCTTCTCAGCCCCTTCCTATGACCCCCAGGCTCCATGGCATGTGGAGGAACACTGCTCCTGCCCACCCCCTTGTGGGAGTCCCACCACAGTGTCACATGACATGAGCTTCCTACCCCTGCTGCAACCCCTTGTGATGGGGAACTCACTCCCTCAACCTTGGGGCCTTTCACACAGGTCCTGTGGTGGCTGAGGCCCGTCATCTCCAGGCTCCCTAGTGGAGTGTGGGGGCAGATGGATGCATGTGCACATGTGTACTCTCAGGGTCTTGAATCAGTGTGAGGTATGCCTGGGGCCGTCTGTGTGTGCACCCATAGAGATGGGTGCAGGTGGCAGTGCAGGCTGTCAGGGTAGTCGTGTGTCTGTGCATTTATACATTCAGACGGTTTCTGAGAGTGTGTGATACTAAGATGTAAAAGCATGTAGAGATTTGTGCAGTTTCAGTGGTGACATGAAGTGGTGTGTATGTGAGTTTATGGGGACCTTTGTGCTCACATGTACTGCTGTGGCAGGGACCCTGACAGTGTGTGAGTACATGTGTGAGTGTGCACATGCTGTTTGAGCAGTACATGGCATGTGTGTTATTTGTGCACTGTCAGGCTTGAGCCAGTGCGTGCATGTGTGTGTACATACGCCGCCACGAGAGTGAGCCCATTAGGATGTCAGCTCCACTGGGGCCAGGATCCTAGTTGATTTTGTTTGTTGTTGAATTTTAAACATCTAGAATAATGCTGCGTGCCTACTGGGCCCTTGGGACGTATATCGTGTGGGTGAGTAGATGAATGCCAACATGAGTTTGTGTACTGGCAGGTGCTGAGCTTGGGGTGCATGTGAGTAAACATGCATGTGACTCAGCACCCAGTGGGTGCCCTCAGCACAGCTGGGCCATAGGGCCCTGAGCTCACCATCCCAGCTCCCCTTCCCTCATCCTACTACCCAACCTATGTCATCCCAGATGTTTTAGGAAGGGAGAGGTCTTCAGAGGAGACAGGTGGGGAGAACGGGGCTGGGATAGGATTCTAGGCCACAGACCAAGGTTTAGGCAAATCAGAAAACAAGCAAGGATGGAGTTCCCTCCTCCCTGCCCTGGCATGGCCCAGGATTCTCAGAACCGGGCTCATCATTCTGCCAGGCCTGGGGGGACTCCACATCACCCCCCGAGTCTCTGTACCCCCTGCCATTATCATCATCATTATTAATAGAGACACGATCTCTCTCTGTTGCCCAGGCTGGAGTGCAGTGGTGCCATCATAGCTCATTGTAGACTCGAACTCCTGCGCTTAAGTGATCCTCCCACCTGAGCCTTCTGAGTAGCTGAGACTACAAGTGTGCGGTACCACACCTGGCTAATTTTTAAATTTTTTGTAAAGACGAGGTCTCGCTTTGTTGCCCATGCTGGTCTCGAACTCCTGGGCTCAAGCAATCATCCTGCCTCAACCTCCCCAAGCACCAGGATTATAGGTGTGAGCCATCGCACTTTGCCCATACCATTAATTTAAGCTCGTGCTGATTGAACATCCAAGATGGCCGATCGCTAACATCCCGGGATTGCAGCTCTCAGGGAAGGCGCGGAGAACTAGAGGACGCCACACTTTCAGACAAAGTCTGGTCGCTCACGGAGCAGAAGATCCCCCAGTGGTGGAAACACACGAGTCGCCAGTGCGACTCTCGTGGTTGGCGCAGCGGTTCGGCCAGCACCTCGACGGGGCAGCGCTCAGCGCAGAGTAAACCGGACCGGTTCCCCTTCTGACCGAGGTTTGGAGCCCTGGGAAGGCAGAGTCGCCTACTACGGAAACAAGAAGGAAGCCCGACAGGAGAATCCTGGGCAGAAAAGCACCATCAGTTTTAACGCCGCTGCTCTGGCCCTGGGAACTAACAACCTGGACGTCCACTCAAGAGACCTAATCTGAAAGTTGGTAATTTCAAAGATGACAGGAGGATAAATTTACAATGACGGGAAGAAACCAGCATAAAAAAGCTGAGAATACTCAAAGTCAGAACGCCTCTCCCTCTAAAGATGATCACAGTTCCACATCAACAATGGAACAAGGCTTGATGGAGAACGAGCGCCTCCTGATGACAGAATCACTCTTCAAGGAATGGATAATAACAAACTTCGGTGAGTTAAAAGAACATGTTGTAGCCCAACGTAAAGAAACTAGGAACTTTGAAAAAAGGTTTGATGAAATCCTACTGAGAATAGACAACTTAGAGAGGAGTATGAGTGAATTAATGGAACTGAAGAATACAATACAGGAACTCCGAGAAGTATGCACAGGTTTAAACACTCGAATTGTTCAAGCAGAAGAAGGGATATCAGAGGTCAAAGTCCAACTTAATGAAATAAAACGTGAAGAAAAGATTAGAGAAAAAAGGATAAAAAGGAATGAGCAAAGTCTCCAAGAAATGTGGGACTATGTGAAAAGACCAAATTTACGTTTGATAGGTGTACCTGAATGCGACGGAGAGAATGAATCCAAGTTGGAAAATACCCTTCAGGATATTATTCAGGAAAATTTTCCTAAACTAGCAAAGCAGGTCAACATTCAACCCCAGGTAATACAGAGAACACCACAAAGATATTCCTCAAGAAGAGCAACCCCAAGGCACATAATCGTTAGATTCACCAGGGTTGAAACGAAGGAGAGGATACTAAGGGCAGCCAGAGAGAAAGGTCAGATTACCCACAAAGGCAAGCCTATCAGACTTAGCAGATCTCTCGGCAGAAACTCTACAGGCCAGAAGAGAGTGGGGGCCAATATTCAACATCCTCAAAGAACAGAACCTTCAGCCCAGAATTTCATATCCAGCCAAACTAAGCTTCACAACTGAAGGAAAAATAAAATCTTTTATGAACAAGCAAGAACTCAGAGATTTTATTACCACCAGGCCTGCTTTACAAGAGCTTCTGAAAGAAGCATTCCACACAGAAAGAAACAACCAGTATTAGCCTTTCTAAAAATATACCAAAAAATAAAGAGCACCAACATAAAGAAGAATTTACACCAAC